TTTTGCAGAATGACGATACGCGGTTTTGTACTTTAAACGACGTTATGTAATTGTATTTCAGTAAATGGTCAAGCCTTGTTTGTTGCTGGCATCCCAATAGATTCGTTACTTATGAAACTTTACGGGCGTTGCCTTCCCCATTTTTAACCGTGCCCCCGCTGCAGAACAAATGAAAGGCGTTTGACTTTTTCGGGATTTTTTAGCCGAAGCTAGAAAATAAGATGTAAGATAAAAGCTTCAGTAATGTATTTCAAGTCTCTCATCTAATATCATTGCTTTGTTTCAAGTTTGATTCAAGATTCATTAATACCTAGATATGTACATATGTACATATTATAAATATATTTAGTTTATATATAGTTTGACTTTTGTGTTTATCATACACTAGGTATGTATGCGCATTCCAGATCTCAGTGATTGTAATAAGTAAGTTATTACAAAATGCCATTAAGTACATTTTCCTCTTATTTAAAAAATATCACATTACAGGTTTTGCACATAGCGACGTACAATTTTTGCCTTGTGTATGCAAACAAATCGAATAATAAATATAATAAGAACACCGCTCGCTAAATATCCGACAACTAGGGCAGCACGTTTACGTCTCCGCCAGCGTTGGTAATCGTGCCACGTAGTGTAACGATTTCGATATTCATATTGTAATTCAAAGTTACTTCTTCGAGGAAACAGGGAAAGGTAGAAGTCCTCCNACCCGCTACACTAATTTCTTCCAAACTTGGCACAGTTTTTGGCCTTGGTAATAAATAAATGCCGTATTAATTCATTATCTTCAGCGTGCTTAGGCTCTAAATTGTCATTAATGCAGTTAAATTTTCTGAAATATATGATGTTTATTTATATGCATAGAATATACATATGTATATATGTGCAAAGTTTCAGTTAATTTTGGTAGTTTACCTTGGATTGCGCCGAATTTTATCGAATCCATCAACAACTTCTGAGATATTGGAAGTTAGCATCATAAAATTATTATGGATTGCACGTTTTGGATTTATGTTATATTTGTATTTAGGGCGTCTAGCAAAATTTGATTCCAGCGCCTCGGCTAACAAATGACAGTGTTCGACCAACTCACGAGATATGGTCGGCTGGAGGGAAAAACGGGTGCATAAGTAACTTACAAATATGAAAGTATGGATGCTNGATATGGTCGGCTGGAGGAAAAAACGGGTGCATAAGTAACTTACAAATATTAAAGTATGGATGCCGCACTTATACTAACCACATTGGAATCTTCGTAACGTTCATAAACGAGAGTTGTATACTCTTCAGTACTTTTGTGTGAAACATCCAAGTCACGCGAACAGTTGCCAACTACTTCTTCGAAGAAGCGAACCGCTGACCAATCCAATGGTAGAGGATACATGCGTGCCAAAAATGTTCGTACTTCCCGATCAGACCATGTATGCGAGCCGTCAGTGTCAAATTCGTCAAATATTTGTCCCACGGTAAACGTTATGGTTTCACTCATCAGAAATGAGTAATAAGCGAAAGCAAACTGTAAGTCTTCCATTGATCGAAAACGATTAGTAATAGTAACGTCTATCTCCTTAGCAAATTTTTTCTGCATTTCATTTATTATATTCTGATCAAGCAAGAATCCCACGTGCGCCATTACATTGCGCGCTTTAAAGCCATAGTGTCGGTTCAGCAGCATATTGGTGTTTATGAGAGAGTGTGAGTAGATGTCCTTGCTAGTTTCGTTTTTTGACGGTTTAACAAATTCATCTG